TTTCTCTATGTTTAATTAAATAGACAATTAATGAAATAATATTTTTTATTATTATATAAAATTTAATATAAAGTGTTAATCGTCTATCAGTATTTTTACAGAATTCTGTTCATGTGATTTGTCAACAGTTTTTCGTGTGTATTCCTATTCAATAATGAAAAAAATGTAACATATTGTGTATAAAATTAATTTTTAAAATTAGAGAAGAAAATCGTACGGAAATGAAATTTTTGCTCTCAAAAGATAATTTTTTAAACTTAAAACTGTAAAAATAAATTTTGAAATAATATTTTTGAAAGATGTTGCTGAAAAACGACAAAATCTTGTTTAATTCTTAATTAAGCTTTGAGCTTACACTCTGCTATATATATCTATATTGACAAAGATTCTGGCCATATTGTTAGTAGTAATCTAGACATATTAGAGAATACAGATCTTAAAAATATCATGTTAAGAGGGCCAAAATTCAGACCGATTTCTCGAGTTTCTCTTCCTTCCTATATTGCGTAAATTACTGAAAAATATTAATGATTTCTGTTTAAAAATTTATAATGCTTTTTCCATCCCCATTGAATATTTCATTGAGTGGAGATGGAATATTTATTACCTTCTGAAAAAGTCTATCACCTTCCAGTATTATAATTCCAAATATTTCGATTTTTTAAACTTTTCTAATATTAAAATATTTATTGAAGATTTAAAAAGTAATTTCATCATCACTCCAATCGACAAAGCTTCCAACAACTATGCTTTTATATGCAAACAGTATTACTGTAATCTTCTGGATAAGGAACTTCAAAATACAACATACATAAGAACCAACTTTAATATGAGTACAATTGCCCAACAAATTCTTGCATTCTATAAATTCTTCATGGTTTAGAAATATAATTTATGATTTCCTTATATTACGATTAATCCAAAATTCCACAAAAATCCTATTTCTTATCGTTTTATCACTTTTCTTCTTCATACATGAAGCAACCTGGATACATTTTCTTTAATCTCTTAAAAAAATTTGAATGTCATCTGTTCAGAAGGTTTCACTTGGAATATTATCAATAATAAACCGGTAACTGATTTCATTCACAATAATGAAGACAGTATTCTCCTATTGAGACTTTCGACTTCAAACATCTTTTCACAAGCATTCCTTTAGACACTCTTCGAGAGGTGCTTAACTCCTACTTTTATGATTACAAAAGTATTCTCCATATTTCTTTTGAGTATTGGTACAAATTATGTAATATTTGTATATTTAATAATTTTATTGGCAATGGGGAAAGTATTTTTCTCCAATCTCATGGGATTCCACAAGGATCTTCGATTAGGTAGTTACCTATTGCAATGGTTCTCATGACACGACTTTCGGAAACTTTCTGCAGATCTTTACCGATCCTGACTTCTAGAACACAAAACCACCCTTCGTTGAAAAGTTTATATGTATATATATATATATATATATATATATATATATA